GCGGGGGTCGTCGCGCTGGCGGTCTGAGTCAGCCGTGGCCGCCGGGCGCCAGCATGGCGGCGCTGACGGCGCCGCACTCGGCGTCTTCATCGTCGAAGATGACGATGAACCAGAACGACTGGGCCGGCGAGCCGTGCAATGCCTCAAGCTCAGCGGCCGGCCGCGACAGCTTCAGCTTGAGGTCCAGCGACAGCTCGTCGGCCGCGACGAGCTCCTGCCGGTCCACCGCTTCGAGCTGGGCGGGCTGCTCGCGGAAGTCCAGCACGACGACGAGGTCGTTGGTCTGGAAATGGCGCTGCGCGGCCTGCGCGAAGTCGGTGACGCGCGCGTCGAAGATTTCCTGGATGCGGTCGGGAACGGCAGGGCTCATGGGCGGCTTCGTCAGCAGGTTCAGGGAATCCGGTAGAACGGATTGGGCAGCAGGAAGGCCTTCTCGGCGTAGCCGCCGGACAGGTCGCTGGGCTGGTCGCCCATTGTCGCGAGCACCTGGTAGCCCTGCATGACGATGCGGGCGCGTTCGCCGGCCTTGAAGCTGGCGGCGGAATAGGCGCTGTGCGAGCCGTCGGGGCGCAGCACCAGGCCGGCCCAGCCGTCGTAGCCCGCCGTGCGCAGGTTGGCCTCGGTGGCGGCGCGTTCGGCTTCCTTGCGGCCGGTGATGAAGAACACCGCCACGCCTGCAGCGCGGGCGGCCTTGTAGAGCTTCAGCGTCGCGGCGATGGCGGGCGCGCGGCCCTGGGCGTCCCAGGCCAGGGCGCCGCAGGCGGTGCCGGGCGCGGCGGTGCAGTCGCCGTGGATGATGTAGCCGAAGTCGTTCTGCGCCATCTGGCCCCAGTTGTCGAGCGAGGTCTCGTCGATGTCCAGCACCAGCGCCGGCTTGGCCACCTGCTTGGCGCGGGACAAAACCCAGGCCATCGCGGCTTCGGCCACCTCGGCCTGGTCGCGGGCGTAGCCGCTCTCGCGGTAGGCCTTGAACTGGGCTTTCAGCTCGCCGACGTTGGTGGCCGGCTGCAGGCCCTTCTCGGCGCTGGGCCAGGGCGTGGTGGCGACGGGCGCGCTGCACGATCCCGGCGCGAAGGTCTCGTTGAGCAGGCGGGCCAGACGCACGCCGCCCAGCGCGAGCTGCTGATCCAGCACCGGCAGCACGGCGGCGTAGTAGGCGTCGTCGATGGTGCCGTCGGCCGGGATCAGCTTGTCGTTCCAGATCAGCTCGGCCACGGCGTGCGACTGGATGGCCCAGTCCGCGGGCTGGTCGCCGCCGCTCTTCAGGTCGAAGTCCTGCGTGGCCAGCAGCGTCTTCTCCAGGCGCTCGACGTAGGCGCCCCAGTCCCACACGGTGCGGCGGATGAGTCCCGAATCCCACAGCGAATGCAGGTTGCCGCTCTCCAGCGCGCAGGCGCCCTTGCAGGTCTGGCCGTGCAGGCTGCCGTGCACCTTGAAGCCGTTGCCGCCTTGCAGGTCACCGGTGGCGTGCAGCGGCTGGTGCACGTCGCCGACGAAGTGGACGACGTAGCGCAGCGCTTCGTTGCGGGCCTGCTCGGTCGACCCGCAGCGCAGCGCCTGCTGGGCGCGCTGCAGCGCCTTCACGACGCAGTCGCCCTTCTCCGACGGCTCGCAGTGGGCCTTCTCGTCGTACTCGTGCACGCCGCGCGGGATGTCGACGAAGTGCAGGTTGAAGTCGCCTTGCG